AAGAGGAGAACACGCTAGACACCAAACACCAGCCCTAAGTTGATGGGGTGGGGAGAGGCTCTTGGGAATGTGTCAGACCACAGCAGCGAGGTGGAAGACGCGTTCTTAGTGGAGCCAGACTTCATTACATGGTCCCATCCCGGCCATGCTGCAATTTCCACTGACTGGGGATTTCTGCTCATCATCATCTCAGAGGCACGATGCTGATCACTGTCTCTCTTCCTTGGCAGGGCAGCGATTCGGGCACACATTTATGCATTCCAGAAAGTGTCCGCAGCCTTTCTGTGCACGCTTGTCTGACTTTGATGTCTAAAAAGCTCTGAGTGCCACAAAGCATTTTCATTAGCACCTTGATTACAATGTTTACCTACAGCCATCTGTCAGGCAAAATTAGATTTTTCATTTGAGGAAAGGCAGCAGGGAAATGAACTGCCGAAGCGCGCAGGTACGGTGCATGTTATTTACACAAATTTCCTCTCCCAGCCCAGGCTCGCTTGCTGTCTCTCTCTCTCTCTCTCTCTCTCTCTCAATCTTGCTTTTTCCAACCCTGTGAGCCAAATTCAGAGTGGGGGTAAGAGAATGTAGCTCCACTGATTTCATCCCACTGCTTAGTACATGGCATGTTCCAAGCGTTGTGCAACTGGTAACTAATTCTTACGCCAGTGAGACATAATAATGCACACGTACCTTCAGACATCTTAGCTGTCACCTTTGCACTTCACACAAGGGGAAGCCACAGCATGGCTCGTGGTTAAAAAATAAATTGACAGTATAGTTGGGGGTGTTGATATGAAGGATCTGTTCTTTGCAACATGCATGTCAACCACCTGGGTCTCTTCTGAATCCTCCACACAGTATGAAAAACCAGACATGTTTCAAACCAATTCTTATGCTCTGGGTAGAAAAGAAAAGCAGAAAAGTGCATACAAGAGAGATGGAGTTCCTGGACAACACTGATCGATGGGCCTCAAGACTGGAGCACGTTCCAGTCCAGGATTGTGGCTTTGGACCTTCTCCTGTCCATCAGAGCAGGAGAATATTGAGCCTTCTCCATTGATGCAAAGGACTCAGGGAGTCAAATGGCACCTAGCAAGACCAGCTCCAGGTCTGTAGATCTACAAGGCAGATTGGGGGCAGATCAGCTGCAAGAATGGCTTCAGAGGGCTGGGTATAGGATCTCCCTGCACAGGGAGATAGGGGCACCCACAGTGCAACTCCTGTACTCTGTAACTGCAGAAACAGGTCCCCCTCTCTCTGGTGGAGATGGCTTGGCTCTCCGGCTGGGAGACAGCAATGTTTGGTCTCTTGTTCAGCTACTGTGCTACGAATAAATGTAGTCTGGAGCTCTGCTGACTGGAACACTCTTGGAACATAAGACATCTGAGAGACTGGCTCACTACCAGGACAGAGGGAGCATCTCCAAAGCCTGTGGGTAGCTCTCCTAGGGTTGGCTGACATGGGAAACATTCCTGGGACTGATCTAGAGGAAACACTGTTCTCTAGGATCTCTCTTGTGTACAAGGAGACCATGAAGTCAACAACAGCTCTATTGCATGAACTCTCTTCCCTAGCGCTCTTACAAGAGCAGGCCTTACCAGTACCTAACCCCAGAACACATGTGGATGTGTGCGTTCTCCCCGGCTGAGGTATCCCAGGGATTTGGGGAGAGACGCCAGCTGGCTGCACTGTCTGGTACA